CCTTTAAGAAATAAAATCAATTCATAGACAATAGTATTAATAGTTATTCTGTTTACGATGACTTGCTTGAACGGATATAATTTTACCGGTCTAAACATATACCCTACTATGTTTACTATTCTTTTGATTTGAACTTTGTTTTAATTTTAGTTTAAGTATTATCTGTTTACTTTGCTTTTCATTGATTGTTATGAACGCATCCTCCATTAAAAAGGTGTGCCACTGATGAAAAAGTGTAGATCCAAATAAATTATTGTTGTTGTTGCTGCTACTGCTGCTTCTGCTGCTGTTCTTGTTGTTGTTATTATTATTGTTATTATTATTATTATTATTATTATTATTATTAGCGGTGGCGGCGGTGGCGTCGTCGTCATAAAAAAGGGCGGCCTTTCGTGAAGCTGTGAGGTATTGGGGCGAGTCCGAATATTTGCAGGAGGGGGATGCAGAAAGAAGGAAACTCCTATAATATCATAAGTTTAAATAGAAGTCTTCTGTCTTTTAACCATCCCATCTTTTGAGAGACTTAAAAGCCAACAATAATGTTAGCCTGAAAATTATTCTCATAACTGACCCCAACCCCTAAAGAAGAAAAAAAAGCTGCCGACTATTTAACCAACATCTGTACACTTTTTTTGGCAGCTAAAAATACACTCTAACCTTAAGGGAGGTGGTGGAGATCCGGATGTCGACGACCATCGCCCCCTATAAATCCTCCCAGGAGTATCACTTTAAGTAATCATCTGTGAAGCCCAGTCGGCCAAATGCTCCAAGTATTGCCCTATATATAACATAATATTTGTAAAGCATAACTTTGAATACTGCTACGTCTTTAACTATAATTTTAGAAAGACCTTAATTAAAAGTCAAATTACGTTTTAAATAAAGAAGAACATGAGCCAATAATAATAATTTTGTTTATAATCAAAAAGCAGGTAACATAGGCCTACTTATTTTTTTTATTTTTTAAAATTTAAAACATCTTTAGGCAGGATGACATATACAGGCGAGATCTTACCGCTGTTTTACACTATGTTCCTGCAAAAACACTGTACAATAACAACTAACAAAATGTAACCAGCACCGTACAATAAAATAAACAAAAGTAATAACTTTGGTGGAAAACTATCCCCCGCCGGACACCAACCCGGTACTTCTGAGTCAAGGTTTCGGGACCAGGAATTACTGCTTAAGGTTAAGCTTAACTACATAACTTAACTACAATATGGTAAAAACTATCCCCCGTCGGACACCAACCTGGTATTTCTGAGTCAAGGTTTCGTGCCCGGGATTACAAGGTAGGGCAAATACTGTACAATTACTTAAATAGATAAAAATGGTAGAAACCATCACCCCGCCGGACACCATCCCGGTATTTCTGAGTCAAGGTTTCGGGGCTGGGATCACAACTTTTACTCAAACTCAGAAGTGGAACGTTAAATTTGGATTTGGTTTTGTAGTCAGATTTCCGAGAAAAAAAATCAGCTACCCGTATTTCTCGACTGAGACGTCAGTGGGAGCTGAAATTTGTATGGCAATGAGATGGTGCTACCCTTAATTCGTATTATGGAATTTACGCCCACAAACCTTGTAGTTATTAATATTTTTGTTATAATAGAAAATATTTATTTTTTTTGGTGACGTCACACTCACAATAGGCCTATAGTTAACATGCATACGTCATAAGATTACGTCACCTTTTCCAAGTAAGGCAAACTTTTACGGCGTTCTTTTTTCATGGATAAACACCACTGCATTGCACATGGATGCCTTGTCTAGCTAGGGCTACAAGAGCCGCATTGTTAGCATTTAATACTTAAACAAGGTACGTCAGCAACTAAATTATTCTTATTTAATTTATTTTTTTTAAATTTTAATTTATTTCTTTCGAAAGTGTACTTTATATCACATATAATTGCACTGTCTACTTAGGCCTAGTCTCAGTAATAAATAGCCTCACAGTCCCCCGCTACATACCGGTAGTACATCAGTAGGCTAGGCAACAGAACTTATGATGTGCCATCCTTCCCAGGTTTTCATGTAACATTTTCATATTGTTATTGTTATTGTTATTGTTGTTTACATACGAATGCTGGCAACAGAACGTGATATTACACCTTCCTTCCCAGGTATTCATGTAATATTTGCATATTGTTAGCTAACCAGCTGCGTTTCCTTTGTGAAAATGAGTACCGCGGAAAAAGAGGGAACTTCGAAATAATAATTGTCTCCCAAATCTTCGCTAATTAATCACCGTAATTTAGCTTACACTTATGCATGGAGTACTAACGAGAGCATTTAAAATGTACAATAATCATTTCACTACCCGACAAACCCCGAGGTTTATTCATGCATTACATAAATAGTTTCATGTTGCTGTACTCCAATATTACTGGCGCATGGTAACAACCAACTAACTGCAGACCATTTCCGGTCACACATAACGCAGCACCCCCTAGTTCCGTCACCTCTGGATCAAAACAGAGACGTGGGGATCGGATATCCATATTCAGTTCTACCGTATACCACCAATTATTAAAAAATGCTCCCAGCGGGAGCGTGTGTTTACTGATTTACATGATTTTTTTAGCTACTGTAGAGACCCTTTTTAGTGAACTTTGTAGAACAGGTCTTATCTAGGAGTTTTCTGTGTTGTTAAAAATCGTTAATACTGATACAAATTTCCCCTTCACAAAATCGTTTATCAGCAACTCTTTAGTAATAGACATGATGATGACACTGTTTTACTTATTCACTTATTAATTAATTACTGTACAACTAGTGCCGAGAACCAAGGAGGCCAAGGTCTGTAATTAGGCCCCCGGACTAATCTCCAATATTAAATTAATCTTAAAAAACAAACATTGACATTTGGTCCGTATTTTTCATTCACTTATCATTTTTCATTTTGTTTCTTTTGTTTGATCTGCAGCTTTATGAATTTTATTGGCCTGTTTGATTTAGGAATTCCCTAAATTCTCTATTGTGCTGGTTTAAGTTTCTTTGTATTGTTTTGCATTAGACATTTTTTTTTCAAAATTTTGTTTTGTATGCCTAGTTTTGTTGTTTTTTTTGTGTAAAAACTGTAAACATGGATGCACCACCAATCCTAGGTTGTTATTCCTAAAAAATAAATTGATTGATTGATCGATCGATTGATTGATTGATTGATTGATTGTCAATTCAATTCAATTGATAACATATTGTAATTGGGCCAGGTCTTATCTAGCATGGCATCATTTCGTAGTCCTTGCTTTTCATTCTTATCTTTAGCTCATGACTCACCACATCATTCCTCCATACCATACCGGATTTACTCTTAAAATTTCAACCAGATTTACTCTTACAAGCTCGAATGCCAGATCATAACTTAGTGTCTACCTGCTCTCTCAAAGGGCAAAAGACACAAAAAAACTCTTACAACAAAGCTTAATTATACTAAAATATAGGTCTATTTTGTTATGTTTTTTCAGGTGGTTTAATTGTTCAGGTCCATCGTGTTACCTGATATACCCCGATGGTGATGGTTGGAAATATCAAGATCCAGGCAAAGAAGTTCATGTCGCGGGTATTAATTATGAATATATTTTTCTTTAACACAAATTAAATTAAAAGGAAAAATTTAGTCTAAAATTTAGACCTATAGGCTCTTTATTTAATTTTTAGTCGAGAACGAGTTACTCGCCAATTATAAAACGGATGAACGTCAGGACGGCGTTATAAGCATCAAGGGGCTTATACAATGAAGTTGATTTTGTAAGAGAAAAACAACGAAATAAGATTGTAATGCGAGCATATAATATACTGTACCACACCGCAGTTTCACGTCTAGTTTTAATGAAAGCAAATTTTAGATATACGTTTATATTTTCATTGGCTATATATAGTTTTAAAATGCTTTTATATAATTTTGTGTACAATAACGTACGCATATATTTACGAATAAGTATATTGAATTTACAGAGGCACCTTATATTCCCAAGAAGAACTAATACAAGAACTAGTATACCTTTTGTGCATTTACACTTACAATTTGAGACCATTTTGAGACTCATTAAAGATAGGTCAAAGAAAATAGATATTTCTCAATACAGGTTACTTTTAAATCCTAGAAGACGAAGATAGACCTATTATATAAAGGGATCAGGATAGGCCTATACTTATAAGTTAATTTACATCATTAATTATTATTCTAATGTTTATTTTAATATTTATACAGAAAGTGATGTATATGAATCACCGAACTGCTACAAATTTATAAAAAAAGACATGGATAGAAGTTCGTGTATTAATGCTCAACGTGAATGCGAACTAACAGGCGGTGGTATAGCTGTAATAAACAGCACCAAGGAATACAATCAGTTGGTAAAAAATGTTATCCATATTTTATCGTTCTGGGCAGACAGTACATTCAGTGTTCATATTCAAAACCTCCCACGGGATAGTAGTAGCTCTATAAGTAATATGTGCGCAGCAATTGAAATAAAGAACAGAGTTGTTAATCGCTGGGAAATAAAAAGCACCGATTGTTCTACAATTCATTTGGTGGACACTGTCGTTTGTGAGTCTGCAGGTAAGTAGGCCTACATGATTAGGTTATAATTGTGGGGCCATCTTCTATTGATTTATCGAAAATTAGATAGGTTTATCACAGAATTTTTTTTTAATCATTCATTAATTTTATACTATAAATTCGTTCGGGTAGGGTAACCTGCTGTTGCAATGTTTCTGGTTGTTAAACGACAAACTTACATAACTCAAATATCGATACAAACAAGTGTATACAAATAGTAATCACCTCTCTGTTCTTAACTGCTTTATTATTAACCCTTTTAACTGTTAGGTACCTAACAATCTCAATGAATTCGTAGCATTACCTCCTTTCTATTTTACTTCCTGCTGTCGATGTATTCGATCAGATACCTCCCTTTTTGCTCAAACGAAATAACTAACTTTTGGGCAGTAGGTACCAGTGTTAGGCCTATATATTATCAAGACCGCTTAACAAATTTAGGCCTACATCTCTTAGATTTTAAAGGTTAACATTATCTGTTTTTGTGTATGGTTATTGTAAATGATGTATTTCCGATAAAAAAAAAATTTTTAAACCCCATAAAACCCCCCAAGTATAACAAAAGTAATACTGTGTTAATTAAACCATTTTATAGAGTTTAATACAGAAATATGTCCAATACCAGTAACCACCGAAGTGATGCAAACAACGAAGGTACAACAGACAAGGAGTATGTGGCCCACAGTCAACCGGTCATTCGTTACAAAAAAAGCAACAGAAAAATACACTTCGATTGTATTCATACATCCATCAAAAGGAAACCAATCTGTCATAGAAACTGGTCCTAATTTGTCGATGGTTGCTATTATTACGTCAATTGTCGTGATCACAATCGCAATCATTCTATTAGTGTGCTTGTTTTTTCGACGCACACAGAAAAAAAGATCAAGGTATTAGAGTGTTATTAATTATTATTACAGAATTATTATTATTACCGCTAGCTATTTGTTGATATAATGTATTATTAATATTTCATTTATAATTAAAATTGTAATCATGTTATTATAATCATAATATTACTATAATCATATTACTATTATTGTCATATTATCATCTCGTTATTATTACTATTTATTAATAATATTAATATAGTTTTCCAATATTGTTAATGTAATTCATAGGCATATGTCTTATTAATAAACTATTATTACTATTGTTATTAATTATCATAATAATATCATCATTTAATATTAATATTATCATTTTCATTATTATATTAATATAGGCCTACTTACTACAGGTCAGAAAATTATACTTCGATGTAATAGAGTGAATTTATTAATTTCTAATTTAACTTTTCAGTTCTGTATGTGTGTTTACTTTTTTAGAAATTCCCTTGGTCCGAATCAGCATCTACCGACAACAGGCCTACCGATCGATAAAGATGGAGGTATGTACACAAGCAAAATATTTTTAAAATCGTTACGTATGTCATATGGGTACTCAGAATCGCTCGATTTCACGTCTTGAACACAATCGTAACTTCTGTACGTCAATAATAAACAATTGGATATTATTGCAAAAATCCCCCAAAACAACGCCGTAAACGTACGCAAACACGTGCATTTCCTGAACCCGTTCTGATTGGTCAATTGTTAAATTTAATTGACACTTCGGAAAAGTCCATAATTATGGATTGACAGGAGTGACGTTTTCATTCAAGCCTTTCCATTAGTTTTCACCAGAAATAGAAACAGGAGATTACTGTCAAAAGTGATGACTTACAATAAAACAGCAGGCCTACTGCAAATTTTTTCAGAATACTGTCTCGCGATACTTTCAAACTCACATTAGTGGTGGCGCTATACTATACTATTGTAATATAGACTTGTTACTTCCTTTTACAAATCTTTGCCCTCAACTTTGGTAAATAATGAGCTTTAATTTTTATCAAGTCTCTTATACTATCTGAACGAGTCTGTGACAACACAACATCGTCATATAGACGCTTTATAGGCTATAGGCCTATATATTGCATATTACATTTATATAGGCTTAAGTTTATCTAACATGTTTTATTATTTTCAATCTTAGCCACCGTCTCATACTCAGAAGGTGGTGTCGTCCACAAATACTCGACAGCAGAGGACCATCAAGATCGGAGCGAAGCATACAACATACTTGATGCAAAAGACATACATTCACAAACCGTAGTTTTCAATGATGCATATGCTGTGCCACATACAAAAGACGCAGCGACAACAAATAGTGCGCAAGATCAAGAATATGATATGTTAAATGTCATGGATTCGGGGACCGCGGTACAAAACGGATTAAGTGGTGGTGTGTATGCCGTACCAAATAAGAAGTCAAAAGGACGTAAAGATGAAACAAAGCCATATTTACACGAAACCTATGATACATTTGATGTTGATGACATGCAAGCAGTGTCAGAACAGCATCGAAAGGAGTCTGATGACGCTTTAGACGCTGCATTATATGTTAACGCAAATTCACATTGTCTGCAAGATGAAGGTGAAGCCTATAATGCCCTTAATGCTGCAGACATGCATTCAGACCGAGACAATTCAGGTGATGTATACGACGTACCATACAAAGAGTCAAGTACGGGTCAACAAGATCATGGTGGCGTCTATGATATGTTGAATGGAACACAAGTTCGTTTAGACAACGAATATGGCAAGCTGAATGCTTCAGATAATATGCTGGAAAAAGACGGCATGTATTCGTATGTTGAGACAGAGGTAGGCGGTGGAATTGTGACAATGTCGCCTGGAGAAGAAGATCATGCTTATGACAAACTACAGCGCAATACAAAACTTGATGGCGCTTTGATAAATGACAATAATTATAGTTCACTGTAGTAGAACCTTACTTCTTTCAAATCTGCAACTCTACAGTACCAGTGGCGGATTCAAGGGGGCCCGCCTCCCTCTCCCTAAATTTTTCAAAATTATGAAAAAAAATAGTGGAGAAGAAAAAAGAAGATTATATTTTAATTTAGTCTGAGAGTACCATATCCGGCCATCTAAAGGTGCCAAAATCATTTTTTCTGCCTTCAACATACTATAACTATAGAACAATAGGGAACATCATTGTGTCCTAGTTGGTGCAATGTGTATCTCTTTCTTACTTCTTTCCTACTTAGGCCTACTTAAATTTCTACTAAAATTTGATCTTGTTGATTGTTTTTTATTGTGATCACTAAACCTCTGATCGTTAATTTCATAATAATGATAATGATACTAATAAAAATACTTAATTTAATTTGTCCTCACTCAACTTGGAAATCGGAGATTTGGCCTGGGACCTGGGGATCTGCGGCACAGTGCAGCACAACCCGACGTAATTAAGTAACGGGTACCGTACATCAAATACAACCCTGACAGGATTTGGACCAGGTCTGCACAAGAAGCAGGAACAAAAACTTTTGGTTATCCGCTCAGCGGTGGACATTTTATTTTATGTTAATAATTATCTGTGCTGAAGTCAAGCAGTTACGTTTAGGGGGAGGGTGGAGAAGGGGGAGATTTCCAGTCGTATTCAAGTTTTTTATGGAGTTCCCCAATGATCAGTCCTGGGGGCTTTGTAGTATAATTTGTTTGTACTTGATGTCAGACTCTATCTCAATGTATTCCCCAATATGCTGATTGCGCCCTTCTCTATCGGGTTGTCAGAACACATGACGATGAGGTTTTTTTACAAAATGATCTAAATAGTGTCTGTTCTTGGTATAATAAATGTGATTTCGTTCTTTTGAGCTATGCGAATTAGAACAAAATTAAGTTCTCAATGCGGAAGATCGCTACGCTTCGCAGAAGTAAAGGGCGTGAATAGGCAGTGTATATAAGAGCGCTGGTTGTCTTTGCACACCAAAAGGCTGCGTAGCGAGTGGTCAAGTGTATTTAAAAAAAAAATTAATACATATTGAAAGTCTGTCGCTGTATATGGGCGTACTTATTAATTAATCCATACGTTCTTAATTCTGTATTAGCAGCACTGTGTTATAATGTATAGAGGCTTCCAGACAATTTTTTCTAAAGGTTTTTTTATCTGGTTTCTTACCCCGGAAGGTTTAGGGATAATAACCGTATTACCGTTAATAGTTATAATATGCCAAATGATAATGAGGGTAATAATAATAGGCCTAGTAATACAGTATGTGTGATAAGTATATTTGAGTTTATGTTATGTATCATGCTCTTACAGAATTATGTCGTTATGTATGTTATGTTATGAATAATCGGGTCTGTCGGTGGCCACCTGTCGGTGGCCCACCCAGTGTATATTGGATTGATGGTTATGGAGCAAAGGTATGAAATCTATCGTAAATATACGCATGTTCATAAATGCAAGTAGGTCTAAGGCTTCGAGAAAATTTGCCTACCTATTTTTTTTTTATAATAATTGCATTACCCAGAGTATCATCCATATCTTGGTGTAATCATAAGTAGTAAATTGGAATGGGGGAAAACTGGTTTAGCATGCTACATCAAAAGAAAGTTCACTAAGTGATTCTTTTATTATCAGTCCAACCTAAGTTATACACAAAGACTTGATAAGCATAATGTCAATTGAAAATCGTTTGTAATATATTATTTTTATCTCCAAGTGTTTTTATGGTAATTTTAACATAAATATTTTAAAATTCATATCCATTAACGGCCGGCCATAAACTAATACGGGCTAATAAATAATAGACTGAATAGACATAGGCATATTGTGAACATTCTTGCATTAAAGCAGGTTACTTATACATTTTTTCATTGTATCAGATTCCCTGATCTTCTGTTTGAATTGTACAAATGTATGTTCTTCCTTCTTTTATGTTGTCAAACATTATCAGTCTTTCTTTCAATTGGCAGTCCTTAAGTGTACTGATATAATATTAAGTAATGAATATACAAATACCACTTATTATTACTATATGAAAATGAAGACAATGATGATGACGATGATGATGCTGATATTGATGGTGGTGATAATGAGGACGATAACAATAATATAAAAGTTAAGGTGCAAAATTTCGCGTTTATTACATATGTATGGTCTGAAATGGCACTAATTTTACACTTAAATTTGAATGAAAGATTTTGTCTCCATTCAAAAAAATCAATACTTTAGGGGGACCCGGGCCGGCTGCCTTTCGTGCTTGAACCCGCCAATGAACTTCTTTTTTTTAAGATGATCTACGTTGAGCGGAAGTCGGACGAAACGAGAAAAGCAAATAAACTATTGGACTAAGTCTTATAATACGTAAGTTCAATGAAAAGAAACTAATTTGCTAAACGTTTATAATAGTGGTACAGTAGGCCTATTTGAAAGTAGCCTACACCGCAATCGCACCACGGTCTCTTTGCGGAAGCTTATATGAAATTATTATTATTTGTAGGACGAACGACAACATTCACTTCACATATAAAATACCCTTCGGGCCTCCTGTATGCAGTATGCAACAATTGATAAAGTGTATCGTGGTCCTCGCTTTGAAAATGATAGTAGTTGGAGCGCAGTGTTCTTCGTAAGTTATTTTCATCAAACAGTTTTACAGTATTTATAGTTTCATATGTTTATGAAGCAATAAACAATATATACGGTAAGCATAGGCTTAGTTGGCTTAAATGTATCCAACTAAATGTAAGGCAACTAAATGCGGAACGTTAATACTGTATTCATATGATAATGTATTGAATGTAAATCAACCACTTGCTTTTCCATTGTATCATAGTTATCAACCTGAGAAATTTGAAATGCGTGACTACCCCAGTTGACTGGGGGAGGGGGTTCAGGGGCGAAGCCCCGGTGGAGGTCGGGTTTGGGTCCATAATCAACGGTTGGTTGTAACAATGAACGCGCAAGACCGCGCGCACCTCATTTTATTAAGTGCGTGGTTGGCTGAGTTATTTTGGTCGAAAAAGAGAAATTTTCTCGGTGAATTGATTCTCGAACGAGATAACGAAAGCTCTCTCAGGGGCGGATCCAGAATTTTTCAAACAGGGGAGCACAACAGTTTCAGTTTAGGTAGATGAGTACCACATAACGTTGATTTGCATTGAAATTTTAAAAATTCAGTGGCAAAAAGGGGGCGGGGGCACACGCCCCGTGTCCTATACTGAATCCGCCCCTGTTCTAATGGTTGTATTGATATGGCAGAAAATTCTGAAAGGAATAGCTGCGTGACGAGAAGGGAAACAAGGAAGTAAACACCACCGGAAAATAATAATATGGCTATCTTAAACAGCATCAAGTAGATGGTTTATCTAGATTTTTTGAAATATAAACCTCATTTGATATTTACCTCAGCTTCTTATTTTGGTCTCAATTTTAAAGCAATTTTAGGTTTTTGTGGTATTTGAAAGTACACCGCAATCGCGTGTGATAGTCTTCTGCGGAGGCTTCTATATTATAATTATGCTTTCAAAGCATAAAATCACAGTGTATAATCCATTACGTCAAATAACGTCTAGGATTCGAAATCTACAGGTCTAAAAAACTGTAACCACATAGATCATCAAAGTTTTCGTCTCACGAAGTGAACATAATTCCATATTTCAGCTTGAGGGAAAAATAATGACTAATGTCGATATTTATTATTTTGGATTTTTAGCTGTTTTGAACAGGTTGCATTGTTTACACAGTCACTTAGATTCATGTGGTTTGACTATAAGGCCTTGTAAAAAATAAGTTGTTGATCGTCCTCTTACATAAAAAAAAATCACCAAAACCTTTTTTTTTTTGCCAAACCTCACGAAAATATCGTCTTTCCGCCGACAATTCAACCTCGGATAGGACTATGTTTTTTGTGTAATTATTCTGTCTTTCATTTGTTTGTTTTTACAGGGATTTGTTAGAGTGTATAATTTCCACAACCTCCCTGCTTATCGACCGATTAACAAAGTTTTTTTACATGGCCTCAGTTTCAACAACTTTGAACTTTTCAATGTAGTTATATAGCCACCTGTCCTCCTAATTGATCACTTGTGAAAGCAAGGCAGACCTTATGACCTTAGAGTATATAAATATAAGTTGCACCATATATAAAATGTCTAAGCTATGTAGAAACTTCCTATTTTGATCTATTGTATCTTCAATATGTCACAGATATATAATTTGTAAAAGAAATGTACAGCAATAGTAAGGGCATATAAACTAATCGCCTTACTTCATTTATCCTACCTGAACATACAGTACCCACCATCAACACAAATATGACTATTAAAGTTAAGCATGGACACAGTAAATGCAACGTTCACCACCACATTTTATCCATGAACCTGGACGTTAGGGTCTATGGCCCAGTCGGAGTGGTACATTTCCGTAGAATTTTTGTGTATTTTAGTCTGTAATTAGCACAATCTTCTTTTACTGATTATAAAATTTTTTTTTATATTTTTTTCAAAACTAATAGTGAAGATTAAAAGCCAGTGCATCCTCTAGTATAATGAAATTATTAATAGGTAAACGACAGCATTGAACTGTGTACATTACGTTGAGACTTCATGTAGCCTAGTACCCACCATCAACACATATATGACTATTAAAGTTAAGCATGGACACAGTAAATGCAACGTTCACCACCACATTTTATCCATGAACCTGAACGTTAGGGTCTATGGCCCAGTCGGAGTGGTACATTTCCGTAGAATTTTTGTGTATTTTAGTCTGTAATTAGCACAATCTTCTTTTACTGATTATAAATTTTTTTTTTATATTTTTTTCAAAACTAATAGTGAAGATTAAAAGCCAGTGCATCCTCTAGTATAATGAAATTATTAATAGGTAAACGACAGCATTGAACTGTGTACATTACGTTGAGATTTCACATGTAGCCTAGTAAACAGAAGACTTATCTGTACTACATTTAGAACTCTCTCTTCGAGCCTTGCATAACGCAGTATGCGGCTATGGATAAAATTTAATTTGCTCCTCGCTTGGAAAATAGCAATGGTTGGAGCGCAGTGTCCTTCGTAAGTTACTTTAAAAATAATCTTTACAGCACTAGTTCGATGTTCATCAATAATACAAAATATATAAGCATAGGATTATCCAACTAAGTGTAAGGCAACTGAAATACTGAATGTTAATAGGGCCTATTCATAAATAATATGTCAGTCAATGTAAGTCAACCAATTGCTTTTTCGTTGTATTTGATATGAACATTCCGAAAGGAATAGGCTCCGAGAAGAAAACGGAAAAATGATAATGTGGCTATCTTAAACAACATCAGGTGGATAAGGAAGTAGGCCTAGTCGTTTTGTGGAGATGACATGAACGGAGGGACTATGGAGCCAGTAGGCCATAAATTCTATAAGTCACTCCGGAGAGGGGTAGATACCACTGACCCTGGATCAGTCGATATTATCACCATTAAATCTAATCACTTTTTGCACAACAAAAGTTAGACTATAAGAATATGCTAAAATATTTTCTGTTTCTTTTTAGTGGATTTACTTGTTCAGGTTCATCGTGTTACTTAATATACCCCACAGGTAATCGTTGGAAATACAAGGACACAGATGGACACAATAAAAATGCGGGTATGAATTAGAAGTTAGACGATATTTTTGTTTGCAAGCAAACTATATGGAAATAAACGTCAAAATGCTCTTTAAATCATTATGAGCTCTTTATATACACACATGATGCTTTACACAAACTAAATCTCAATAGGCCTATAGGTTTAGAAAGTAGAGTTGTTTTTTGTCATGAGAAAAAATCTGCAACACTGATAGGAATTGAACCCTAGGACCCTGGTTTCGAATTGGCAATAGCCACCAAGCTATTCAACTCCACATAGAAACTAAAATTGGTTATCCAGGTTTAAGTACCATTTTAAATGCATTTTTCACTTCATCTTCGCTTTAAAAAAGCCATAATTAGGCATAAATATGAATGCAAGCCTATATTCGCGAAAAATTCGACATTTTTGCTAATTCAAGAATCCTAGAAAACAACACGATGTTATTATGTAGATAATAAATGGAATTAATTAATTAATGACGAGCGTAGGCCTACTATGATGGAGTGCGTACCTTTGGTCCGAAGGGTCTTTGGTCCGAAGGCCCGTTGGTCCGAAGGGTCTTTGGTCCGAAGGCCCGTTGGTCTGAATTAGTGACCTTTTTCCAGGAATTCAGGTTATACGGCAGTAAAACAATTCCTTACAATTTATGGAGTAAATTAAGAAAGATCTCTTTTCATATTTTCCCTAACAACATATAAGGCCAAATAAAAAAATACTAGTTTCTTGTCACCTCCCGCATCCATTTTCGCTGCCTCACCATTAAAAAGAAATATAAATTTCCTTTATTTTGCGAAATGTACAAATATCTGGCTACCTCACATCATTAAAATTCCTCTCTCGATCGTGGATAGGGAGATGTTCACAGTGAGAATTTCAGTTGAACTATTACCAGTAGTATTATGAATTAAAACTCAATGTACTATGATACGAATCATATCTAGTGCTTATTTTCTTTTAATGTGCAGTGGCGGCACTACAGGGGCACAGCGGTGGGGAAAAAGTCCCCCTAGAAAATTTGTTGTC